AAAAAATGATTGAGAATGAAAAATTCTTATAACTGCAAGAAATTTTAGAGCCCAGTGAAATAAAGTGTATAAACAAAACAAATATTTCATTTTTTTGTACTTACTTGTTAGTCTGGTCCACAATTATGCAACTTCCATTAGGAATTAAGTCTACATTATTTTTATCCCAATGTACCTGTAACCACAAATGAACTCAGGTAGTCTCTCTCCAAAATAATTCAGAACAGTCTATCATCAACAAATACACTTTGAAGTATACCAATTTTCCTCAGGCATATAGAAATGTACATTTTTGTCTAAAAACTAGCAAGGAATATACAAATAAAAATTACCACCTTATGCAGATTGAATTTTTTTTAAACTTGAATTATCTATTTTAATTGATCATACACTGAAAAAAATTAATTAGATAATTGCCATATCTCAGTATTTACTTTATACAGTATAGACCTAGTATGGTAGATTTGCAAAACTGGCCATAAATTCCTCCCATGCTGGAATTCATGTCCCTTTGCAATGTGACTCTGCAACAACTCCCATCAAGAAGGACAGTCTGTTTCTTTAGCCCTTGAATCTAGATGTGACTTTGTGAAGTACTTTGGCCAATGGACCTCAGATAAGTGAAACATGAAAAGAAGCTTATATGTTGGAACTTGCCATCTCTGTACCCTGAGACCATCCTGTGAAGAAGCCTCAGCTAGCTTACTGGAAGAAAACAAAGATAAGCTGTTCCAGCTGATACCCCATAAACCAACCAGCCTGCCAAGTTTGTGGGCGAGGCCATTGTAGACCATTCAGCCAAGTTAACCCAGTCCAGAAACCCACAGAATTGTTTGTTGTTTTAAGCTACTAAGTTTAGGTGTTGTCTATCACACAGTAAAATCTAACTGATACACCCAGCCCATGAAAAATGAGGGAAAAAAAACTTTTGCATTAGCTTAATTCAGAAGTTCATTTTTTAATAGAGTGACATGTTTAGATTAATTAAAGGGTGAATCAGTTTAAACCTGATCTGTAACCTGATTTTAATTGTTACTCACATTAAAGTGAATACAAAATTCTTCTTCAAAGTCATCACTTTCATCATCCAGAAGTGTTTGCAAACTCCTAAAAACAAATAATTTGATTTTTTAAAAGTCAGTAATCATGCTCACTAGATATATCATCTAAAATAAATGTCAAGTGCATAACTATTCTGCAGGTGGAAGGTCAAAGTACAATTCACAGTACCCATTCCTCTGTGTGATAACAGCCTAAATAGAGCCAGACCTCAACTGTAAGTATGAGGTTTAGAAGTTTATTTATAATTTTGCAGGTTCCCCACCCGATTCCTAGCTCTCTTCCTACCACCCTAACTTCCTTTACCCAGGGATTGCAGGTTTCTATTTAGAAAGCAATTGGTAACATATTTACAGACACTAAAACTCATTCAAATTGGCTTTACCTTTATTTGAGCTTTGGAACTTTATTTACAGAATAAATAATAGAAATTACAGATCTTTTAAATATCAAGTATCACTTAGGAAATCTGAGGAGTGGTTAGGTGAAAGAGCCTCTGTATCTACGGTCCCAATATCATCAAGCTTAAGACAGACCTGAACTCTGACTACCTTAATTGTGTCAAAGCATCTATGAGAACACAGGTTATATCAAAATGGATAGCAGCCAGTCTTTTTTTGTATTTCCAGCCTCTGTTGTCTTACGGTACTTTGTAAACACATTTAAAGTAATGTTTCATATTATATTATTTGCTCCTTCACTCATCTAACCAATATTTATTAAGAACCTAATATAGCAGGCATAAGGAATATAAAGTTGAGACTAAGACGTTCCTTTCCTGTCAATAAACCCTGAGAATAATAGGTTAAGATATGCTGATGAAAGTCTTATCTATAGTACTGTGGGATGTGTGTAGCCAGAAAGTGTAAATAGTACAGATATAACTTGCAAGAGCTTGGTTAACTCTGTCCAAAGGGATGCATGTCATTGGGGAAGTCCTCCCTCTGGGAGAAGGTGAAAACCAAGTTGTTTCTTTTCTCTACTGGTTTTTTTACTATGGTATTGTGATAAAGCAGACCACATTTTATTCATTGTGGGTTTTTGGGGGGGGAGAGGAGGAGGGAGAGTAATGGGAAATCAACTGACAAAACTGGATGCATAATATTTGGTTCATAACACTCTCATTACATGTCCATGTATGACTTATTTATGGGTTTTTATGAAGAACACCCATGAACCTGTCTCCCAAAACAAGAACTAAAACACTACTAATATCTTATACTTACCTAAGAGGATACCTCCCTCCATCCCATTTTTCTACCAACCCCAAAATGGTGTCTTTGCTCTTTCATTAAGGTATCTCTTGATGAACAGAAAACTTCTTTAATCTTATTGTAGTCAAATTTACCAATCTTTCTAATGTTGGTACTTTTTATGTCTTAAGAAATCCCAAAGGTGAGAAAGATTTGTCCACATTTTTACATATCCATCATTTTTACATTTAAGTATTTTAGCTACGTCAAGTTGATTTTTGTACACAAGGTATCTGCTCTCATTTTTCCCCATATGCATTAACTGAACAGTACTTCTGTTCCCACTGATCTAACATGCTACCTCTAACCAAGTTCCACATGTGCATGAGTCACTTTCTGAGTTCCCTCTTCTGTCCCCACTGGAAAACTTGCACCAATACCATACTGTCCTAATTAATGCAGCTTTCTAATAATTCTTGATATCTGATGGGCCACATTGTTCTCTGAAAAAGGAGTTACCAATTTGCACATCCACTAATAATACCTGAAATTAAGAGTGAACCTTTTCCCAAACTCTTGCTAACTTTATATAGCATCAGTATTTCTAACCACTGTCAATTTAAAGTACAAATGAGCCTCTCATTTTAATCTACATTCCATGATCACTAGTAAGATTTTCTTTTTATTTATGTCAGTTTCCTTATTTGTACACTTCGTAAATTTTTCTTTTAAGTGTATAGGAACACTTTAATCTGCAGGGAATGTAGCCCTTTCTATTGTATGTTACCAATATTTTTTGTGAGGTAGTGGCTTGTCTTTTAACTTAAACTTAAGTTTTCACTTTAAAGGTGATAATATGAAATAACATTTGAAATAAAGGTCACTTGAGATTTCACACCAAGGGTAACCTATGCTGTGCCCAGGTTTGTTTCTATTTGAATAAAATTAAAGATTAATGGAAGCACTGAGGACTAATTATATAAAAAATACTTTTCCTAATTTTAGAAAGTTAAATTATTAATCCAACAATTCTTGCCAAAGTTAAAATTGGTTTAAAGTACCCAGAATGCTAGTGTTGAACACAGAAATATTACGGGGGTGGGGGGCGGGGAAGGGTTGTACGCTTAAATATTTATCTAAATATATGTTAGGTAGTGTTCTAAAAAAGTGACTAGGTTTACTTACTTTCCCAAAACAGGACTGAGTTCTTTCAAATCTTCTAATGATGGTGTTTGGTCTAAAAGTTTCTTAAACAGAGCCAGTGGGAAAGGGATGTTGGCAACATTGCAGTTAAACAGGGAAAGTCCACATAGAACCCCAAAGAAGAAATATCTCTTCTTCTCAAATTTAGGCTAAAAAGAGAAAAAAAATCTTAACATGAATTTTTCCAGTACAATGACATATTTATATTAGGGAAACCTTTTTTTTCCCCTTTCACAAAATCAAATCTCATATTAAAACCAAAACACTTGAGGTAAGGCTGTTTAGGGTGAAAAGGGGGAAGGGATTAAAAAGTACAAACTGGTAGTTACAAAATAGTCATGAGATGTAAAGTACAGCATAAGAAATGTAGTCAATAATACTGTACTAACTACATATGGTGTCAAATGGGTACTAAATTTATTAGGGTGTCAGAAGTTATAGAAATGTCTAATCACTATGTTGTATACTTAAAACTAATGAAAATACTGTATGTCTACAGTAATAGAAAAATAAAAGGTTATTAAAATAAGAAAAAATATTTATATTCAATCACTAAGTCACCGTAAATCCCTGCCAGTTCTGGTTACTAAAACATTAACAGAATGGGGGCTGAGGGAATAGTAGCGATATTTAGGGGGAAAAAGACTTCACCAAGTAGTAATTAAGTCCTAGAGATCTAATGCACAGTAGTAAATATAGACAACAATATAGGATTGTAATGACCAAATATGATGAGACTAGATCTTAATTATTTTAACCACTAAAAAAATAATTATGTGACATAATAGAGGTGCTAATTACTGCTACAGTGGCAACAATATTAAAATATATAAATGCATTAAATCAATATATTGTACACCTTAAATTTATACAATGTTGTATGTCATTAATTTCAATAAAAAAATAAATGAAAGAATTAACAGGAATAGAAACACATTAGGCTCAGTAATCCTTATAGACTAAAGTTTTCACAATTTCCTTGCAAAGCCTTTGTCTTCAAGTTCATCAGGAAAAATAGAACTGTAACAAAAAATGAGTGCCTGAGAAATAAGGGGTTCGTTTTTATCTATACAGTCTGTAAGTGGTCAAAAATATATACTGCTTATAAGTTCTCCAGTGTGGACATGACAACCCAAGGAAAGTGGATCCCATTTTAGAGAAAATAATCACCTTTTTAAAATTAAAATTTATCTCCACATTATAACAATAATTCTACTCCTAATATAAAACAGTCTAGACAACCTAATTTTCTATGGTACGTGACATACCCTTTCTGTCAGGAAATATCAGAAGCAAAGACAAGAAGACTTACCCTGGCGGGAAACCACATGTAGGAAGCCTCTTCAGGATACATGAACATCCCATATTCTGGTCGGATCATCTCTTCAAACAAGCAGTGGAAAAACTCTGCCTTGACTCCTCCAAAGTCATGTCCAATTTCTCCAATAAATGAAACCTAAGCAAATAATGCATCACTTCCAGGCTATGTATTGCTATGCATTAAGTCTCATTTAATAATAAGAGCTAATATTATCATAGGCCCAAGTACTTGGTAGGTGCTGTGGTAAACAATTTACTCATATTATCATATTTAATCTCCCATTAATTCTGTGAGGATGAGGAGGCTACAAGAATTTAAATAACCTTCCCAAGGTTACACAACGGCTAAAATGGTGCAGCCTAGATTTAATCTTATGTCTGTGAAACCTCAGAGCCTCAAGTCTTTACCACTAAACTGACCTCAACTGGCATCATTATTAGTTAAAAGGTATGTTAAGTATAATGAAAATAAACATTAAGAAATATTAGAATTTTTAAAAAACCAAAAAAACCAGAGCACGCATAAAATATTTATTGGCTTGGCTGTTTACTCCTTGAGGAGGCAGCACCAATCCCTCTCCAGGATGATTCTATCATAATTCATCCTTGCTCCTGCAATTACTTGCTCCATTCTTGCCTTTTCTCCTGGAATCCTTCACTTCAGTTTACAAATATGGTAAGATCTCCCTAATGCTTAAAAGGAAAACAAGACAAACAAAACGCTCAATACCATTGTCTCCAAAACAGACAATACTGGCTCCTCTTACCCTAAGGATGCCAGATTTCAGAGAATACTGTTACCTACTTCCAAACCCAGTCTCTACTTCTCTACTTAAATGCTTCTCTCCAAGAGGACCAAGAACCTGGAATCTCCAAATCCAAGGACTTTTTCTCATGTCTCATCTCCTTGATTTTACTAACTCATTTTACACTTCTGACCACCTTCTCTTTCTTAACACTCTTTTCTCCCTTGCTTTCTCTTATGGAGCACTGTTTACGTTTTTCTCTTCTTTTTCCTGCTGCTTTAATTCCAGAAATTCCTTTCTGCTCTTTCTTTGGATGCTCATTTTTCCCTTTAAACTTCATTTATCACTTGCAGGCATTTAACCTTCATATCCATCTATCTTCTGTCCTGATTAATACGCACTCATTTCCAAAAGGCCTGTTCAACATTTCCAGCTGGATGTGCCATCAGTACTCCCAACAAGCTCCTTTTTACTGGTTTATTTGGATGAATGCCTCTTCCATTTACAGAGATGCAAATTTCAAACCTCAGTGAATTATTTATAAGCTTCATAAGACCAGGAGTTAAAACTGCCCCACCTTATGAGCAAGTTCCCTAGTCTCACAAAGCTTCAGTTTTCCCACAAGATTGTAAAAAAGAATGCGATAACATGTGAAATGCCTCAATAGTTTAGAAAATAGTAACTGCTCATTGTTACCTAAATTTTAAAAATGGATGAATGAAATATAAAAGTGGAACTAAAATAGCTGAGTAGACTGACTGACTGACACAGGTTAGAATCATGTGAGTTCATTAGATTTTTTAAATGATTTGTGTGTTAGACACATGGAAATGCCAACTCTTAACTGCAAACCCCATTGCAACATACTTTTAAAATAGGATTTTGAGCTTTAGTCAAGTCTATCTTTCTTTAATCAGAGTAGGATAGGTGATAAACTAGGGTCTCCCATCAAAAAAAAAACACTCTAATAAATATTATCAGGCAAATCTTTATTTGGAAAGTCTACGACTGATGGTTAGACCCAAATCCTGGCTCTGATATTCATCAGTTGTCTTACCCTTGGATAAGTCACCTAAAGGTTCTGTATCTCAGTTTCCCCATCTGTAAAATGAGGAAAAAAATATAACCTTTCACACACTGTTGGTGAAAGGGTTACACAAGCAACAGTTCCTGGCACAAGGAAAACATTCGCTATGTCTACCAGTCATTACTATTTTTCTGTGTCAAATATATACTATTAAGATAAGCTACATAGTTACTATGCCAAAGGTCATTTATAAATGTTCAGAACATGATATCTACAATTACATCCTCAAAAAACTATGTAGTCAATAAAGAGAACGTTTTCTCTTCCACAGAGTGATACGGGTTCCTGCATGAAAGCAGAAACAAACCCTCAATTCCTCTGTGTCAACCCCATCTCACTGAAACTCTTGAAAGGTGGTGACTAGACCTCTTATGATTAGTACTGGACTTTCCACTTGACTAGGCTGGGGAAGGACAACCATTTGCCAGCTGCTCCAGAGCCCCGGCTATACTGACAAAGTGCCTGCAGCTATCACCTGAAACTCACAGGTAACTGGGGAATTCTAAAATAGGCCACCTTCATGGCAAAAGAAGATAATTTCCCACCTGTAAGACCTGTTTTTACTTTATGTCTTCCTTCTCTTGGCAGCAAAATTATTGAGAATTATACTTTACCATTAATTCCTTCCTCAAATCTTCATTCTCAAACTGATTTAGCTGACTCAAAACATCCTCAATCAAGTGACTTCTTCTCACTGTTAGGTTAAAGGTGGGCAGCCAAGTTAAACTGGACCCTCCATGTTCCACAATTCCGGCCAACTGCATACAAGCTCTAAATTTTTTCTCCTAGGAGAACAGAAAAGTTTCAATTCATTTCATCATTCACTCTAATAGAAATTTATAATGTGGAATAAACTGTTTCAGTTTATTGTGAGTACATATCACAAACATTTATAAAAAGAGCCTTATGTATGCCACTGGAGATAAGGTATATATTCGGTATTCACCCTCAGTGAGCAGAAGAAACATGAAACCTAAGAAATGAAAAGCTTTGGGAGCCCACCTGGGTGAGCAGGAAAGTGACCCACAGCAGGCTCTATTGGACCACTTTATACTGTAAACACAAATATTAATACTTCAGTTACCAAAGCTCATGATCATCAATAGGCTAAAGAGACATTGATAAACACCAAAGCAGTACGCTGAAACATAATCTCGTTAGGAAGCGAAGTTCAGAAGTTTAGAAAGGAAGAAGACAGAAGGAAAAATTCAGGTATCAGACCTCTCTAAAGATACCCTATTCTAGAAGGAAAACCGAGACGAGATTTTAGGTGACAGATAATCTAAGAATATGAGAGAGAAAGAGACAGACAAACACAAAGAGACTATGGAAACCAAATGGCAGTTTGGGATAATTAAAGTCTGTGGTTCTTAGCAAAACAAAGAGCAATCAAATACCAGTTCTATAAAATTACTACTGAACACTTGGTTTAAAGTCAGGAGAAAATAGTTACGAGAAATGAAGCAAAATAAATTACATAAGTTCTTCCTTTCATTTTTCTTTATTAAATATTTTGTTAATGGTCATACTGAGAACTCATAAATCAATTTTCTATTTTGTTTTATTATGGTAATTACATAATGTGAAAGTATACTTTTATGACATTTGAATATTATTCATACATATACATATACAGATGCATATATGAGAGTAAAAGTGGTAAGAGCTAACACTTTTAACCACTGAGATTATGCAGAGCACTGTTCTAAGTGCTTTACCTATATTAACAAATTTAATCCTTACAAAAGGGTGATGAAGTGCATTTCCCAAGGCATTTTCAACTGTCCAATTTTAAGTTTAAAAGCACTTTGCTGAATATGCTGACAAAACCAATTCAACTGATGACTGTTCATTGAAAAGTGGATACTTTTTACACACCTTTATTATGGCACCATTACAGGGTACAGCCATTTATTTGGGTCTGAATTTGAAGAATTCTGTCACCTCTATTCTCACTGCTATGCTCTTTTCATAAGATTGGACCTCCTTAAATATTGGTATAATTCCAATCAAGCTCAAGTCTGCTTGCTATGCCTCTTTGAGTGCCACTCAGAAAGCTACAGGTACCAACCTCAATGTAAAAGCCCTACAACTAGGCCAGCTGCTCAAATTCTAGCCTTTCTTACTGAGGCTCTAATATGCCTCAAGGCCAAGCCAACCCAAATTAAGACAGTCTTTCATGCATGTCTTCTTCATTAGAGTATAAACTCCTTGAAAGCTATGACCACTGGTTTCACCAGTGGGTGGGGCTCCCTTACCACCTCCAAAATATCGTACACTTAAGAAGGCATTTGTCATTTATTAATGAAGACAAAGAAATAGGCATACTTACCTGTATTTTTAAAAGCGAGTCTGCATACAGTAGTTTAATTTTTGACAGAATATTAAAGATAAATGGAAAATGACTGAATATGACAGGATACTGGATGTCTACTGAAGTGTCCTAAAAATGGAAATGAGAACAATTCTGATAAAGGACAGAGATATTTTACACCTTACCTCATAGCCTTAAATCTCTGATGATTTAAGTTCTCACTACTTAATGACAAAACCAATTCAAATTGCTGGTCAGTAATACCTGAATGCATAAAATTCTAAGAAAATGTTTAACTGTTCCAATTAAAGGTATACAGACCTAGTCGGTGCTCATTTAATTTAGCAATTAATTATAAACTCTGGATACTTTTCCAAAGAGTCTGTTCTGCTGCAACCTGCATTTCTGAAACGTAAATTAGTTCAGATGCATTTGGTGAACAGGAGAATGAAATAATGTGGGTAGACAGTTAGCTCATATATAATTTTTACCAGGCAAAGGTTGATATGCTAGTAGTAGAATTATAATCTTCAGAGAAAAGGAAAAAAACCTCAGGTCAGCTGCTGAACTGGCAGCAAGAGCCCCTTACCTGTATTTTAAGAACATGAAAAAGAGAAGTACTTACGTACAGGTTACCCTGCTTGAAGTGCAGGCCCCCTATACTGCTGGCCTGTGGTGAGTCACCCTGCCTTCTATGCCCACCTTAAGCAGAGCTCAACTTCCATCTATGTTATCTCAAAACCACCAGTCCTCTAATTAGACTGTGGATAGATATCTACCATTCTGTTTTATGCATTTTTCATATTCGCATGGCACTCTCCTCCAAAGTTGCTTGTCTGGTAGATCGAAGCTATATGCCCAGGTAGCAACCACTTTTCTGTTAGTGCTCTGGTTATAAAATTGCATAGGTTTTGAGGGGTATGTCTTGCTTTTCCCATAATCCATTTCTGTTAGGCAACTTTGCAGAGCACAAGGATTTTTGGAAACATGTAGAAAGTTACAGCATAAATGCTATATTAACTCACTGATGGTCAAATTCCCCCCTCAAACACACCATACTTACTGAGTTCATTTTCCAAGAGGACCTTCTATATGCGTCTCCATAAAAATCAAGCCAGTGCGTGAGTTCGTTTACTTTGAAAATATTTTCAGGTGCTTGACATTTAGTCTGGTTTACCTTTAATAAAATATAACTTATGATAAAGTTTTATATAAAGACAATTTTGCTTAATGTTGACTAGATTATCAGAATAAATAGTAAATTATAATGACCAAAATAAAGTTCTACCCAATTCCTCCACTGCCAAAGCCCAAATTTTCAGAAACATAAATACCTAAGATTTAATAATATAAATTGATAATTATGATGATAAACTTTTCGTTTCTTTTAATTCACAGAAGTTTTAAAGAACTTTAAGTCCAAAGAAAAATACAGTGTAATATAAATCCAAGTACTATGGGGCTCAATACTTCATATCATGTTCTTCAGATCTTAACAATACACCATTTACATATGTTCCCTCTGACAAGGCATTTATAGAACATTGTCTCCTAAAACGTGGGGAAATTTTCCAGCCTTCCATCCCCTGAGGTGACCAGGATTATTATGATATACACATGAGCACCCTGGCCCAGCTAACAGTCAGTGAAGACACTGAAAATGACATGAGCAACCATCAGTATCTTACGTGGATAGTCACAGTCCTGGCTTCAATGACTAAGTCTCAGGAGGTCTTCTAAAAGTCCCTTTTTGGCTGTGCAAGCTAAGATCATTCACCTGGAGTATTCTTACTTACTCTGGCCCACACCCCAAATTACGTAGGCCTTCCAGTACCACCTCCCGAAGCATGAGGAGGCTGTTTCACTTCTGTGACTGTAGTCCTCTAGACCCTGGTGATCTCAGTCTTACACTGTCTACAGCCTCAAGATTGCACAGAAAATGCAAAATCTACCAGTAGATATGTGAGAATTTAGCAAATTCACTAGCTATAAAATCAACATTCAAAAATCAATGCATTCCTATAAACCAGCAGATAATATAATTTTTAAGATCTCATTTACAAAAACCTAAACATATCAAATATCCTGAAATCGATTTGGCTAAACATATCCAAGACTTTCATAATAAAATAACAAAACTTTATTGAAGGAATTTGAAGAAGATCTAATAAGTGGAAGAAATAGACACCATGAAGATTCATAGTAGTCAAGATGTCAATTCTTCTCAAAGTGAAATACAGATTCAATGAAACTCCAATAAATTCCCAGTAAGATATTCTTTGGTGTGTGTAACCTGAGAAGACAATTCTAAAATGTGTATGGAAGAGCCAAGTGCCAAAAATAACCAAGATAAACTTTAAGAACAAGGTAGGGGTACTTCATTGCCTATCAGTAGTGAAAGGGCAGAATTTTAGTAAGTGGTGCTCAGCAATTGTTTTCATATGGGAAATAATAAAAATAAACTTAAAATAAATTTCCAATTGGAGTAAACACCAAATTGTGAAAGCTAAGATCAATACCCCCTTTGGACCAGGGGAAGAGTGGTCTCTCTGCTCTAGGTCCATGACTTAAAAGATCCTTGCTCTGGCCTTTCTCCTGCCAACTAACCTCCCACAAGGGAAATAAAGGGTCTGCATGGCCAAAGGGACCTGTCTATGTGCAGACCACACTTCCTTTTCTAAACTGAGCTCCAGATACCCAGGACCTAGAAGTCCCTGATCAAATGGCTCCAAGCCAGCTTCCAGGACCTGCACAGGTCTCCTCCTCTGCTTGGTCTCTGGAGAGTGAATTGTGTCACAGGTGAACCACCCCTAGACTCCAGGGCTGGCTAAGGAGTGGCTGTTGTAGAATGTGCAGATAGAACACAAACATATGGGCTGAGGTATCCATCTACGGACCTGTGACACCCCTGGTCCTGGTGTAGTACAAAACCAAAATGTGAAAAGAAGACGGAGGATCTGGAAGGCCTCTGAGCCTCCAGCTTTTAATGCAGAACTCTATAAGGAGTTTGAGATTTCTAAATTCAAGCCTGGCCTTCTCTGTCATTAGGAAGGTTTATTTGTCAAGGTGGAAAGATAGAGTATATTTATTCAGCAGTTTGTTGGCTAGATTTCCAATGTTTTAAATATTGGATATATGGTATATTGGCCTTTGTACTCTTCCTTTGGTCATCTCTATTAGAAAATTATCTGGAGCAGCGTTCGGGGCCAAATCAGGCCCTCTGCATGTTTTTCTAACATTTTACTGGAACACCGCCACACCCATTCATTTTCATATTGCCAAGCGCTGCCTTCATGCTAGTATTGCACAGTGCAATAGTTGCAGTTGCCACAGAAACCTAATGTCTCACAAAGCCTAAAATATTTACTATCTGGTCCTTTCTGAAAAGAAACTATGTTGATCCTTGATGTAGATAATAATTTAAAACTTGAAAGAGAAAAAGGTTTAACACAAAACACAAAGAATAAAATGATTTAAAAAAATGGACAAATTTATCTACATTAAAATTAAGACTTTTTACCATAAAGTAAAAAGACAAGCTACAAACTAGGATGTAATTTACATATTATTGACAAAGAACTAGATTCCAAAATAAAGAGAACTCCTATAATCAATAAGAAAAAGTCAAACAAATCATTTAAATTGAACAAAAGTCAAGGACAGATCCTTTACAGAAGAACAAATACTGTTATTATAAACACAAAAATATACTCTAATGCATTACAACCAGGGACATACAATTAAATACAGCCATAAGTATTAATCTGAATGAATCTATAAAACAAATTTGTATAAGAAACATGTATTGTTCATATAAATTTCAAAAACTGCAAAATTAAACAACATAGTATCTAGAGATACGCATAGTCATAAAACAATAAAAAAGAGTAAGGGAACGATTAACCCAAAATCCAGGACCATGGCTACCTCCAGGAGGAGAAGAGGGGTGCAATCTGAGAGAAATATACAAGCATTTCTAAGGTACTGGAAATGCTTTCTTTTTCAACATGGGCTGTAGTTAACTGATGTCTGTTTTACTAATTTTCTTCAAACCATTCATAGACTATATACACTCTTTTACATGTAAGACAATTCACAAAAAAAAAAACAAAAATTTTAAAATAATAATATAAACTTCATGTTTCATTAAGAGTTTGCTTAAGATTCAGGTCAGTTGAAAACAAGAGAATTTTTATTACAAAATAAGAATATATGGACTTCTAAAAGAACCCTTACCCTGTGCAGCCTTTTCAATACTTCTAGGAGAGCTTTAATGTGATAGTTATTCTCAGCACTTTCAGTCCAATAATGCAGTTGGGCGGTGACGGCTCTTTTAAACATCTGGACCAATTTGGTAAAAGCGGATTCTTGCAGAGACGCCCAATATTCTTCTGAGGGATACAAAAGTAAACAAATGTGAGCATACAATTTCTATTGGAGTCCTAAAGGTAAAAAGTGGTCCATATTTCCAAAACTGACAGAAAAATTTCATATATATCATAGTTACAAAAACACATCTGTAATAAAATTTTCAGCAAATGCAATTGCAATTAAAAGTTTAGAATTTAATGCCCTCAAAAAAATTCCTTGATGGTAACAGGACCGCAAACTTGAAGAATTGTGAAAAAACAGACAAAATTAAATTTGTCACATTTCATCCAGATGAACAGTATACTGTATTAAAAACTAGATTAAGAACTATTTGTGACTGCACTTTTTTTTGTGTTCCCAGCATGAGTTTTTAACTCTTAAAAAACACCTTTCAGCATCATAAAATAACAAAATGTTTTCAGCTAGCTTTTCATCACTTACAATATTATCTAGATTTAATAAAACAAGAATGAACTTCCTTGGGCTAAATATGCTGTTTATGTATTTAAGGAAAAAAACCCTCATTAAAATCTAATCTAGCCCCAGACTTAACTTCCAAAGTACTGAAAATAGAGGGAAAGGAAGAGACAATCAGACAAATCTAGAGGTGGGACATTCTATAGGACAGGGGATCTAGATTTTTTTTTAAAAAAAAAGGATATAAAATACTTTTTTGGGACAAGTGCATAAATTTGAATATGGCCTGAGTATTAAATAACATTATGGAATTATGGTTAATTTTATTAGGTGTGATAATGATGTCATGGTAATTTAGAACTCCGTATTGAGATGCATGCTGAAATATTATAAATGAAATGTTATGATGTCTCCAACTTACTTGAAAATAGTTCAGCAAAAATAAAATGTAATCTGTTCATAAAGAGAGAGGAAGCACATACGGCAACACTGACTCTCAAGTAGAGGGTATATGGGTATTCGCTATACTATTCTTTCAACTTATGCGTATGAAATTTTCATAATGAAAAGTTGAGGACAAAGGACTTGATGATTAAGCCACACACAGATCATTACAAGAACTCTAAAAAAATACTAGATAAATCTATTTTGGGTGACCAGAGTAATTACTATAGCATTTTTAGAATACACGAAGAATATGAGCTTTTTAAAAACATGAGTTTACAATTATCTACTTAAGTATTGCCATAACTTTACTAGGCATGTTTTTTCCATTGAAAGGATGGTGAAGTATTTTCAAATGTAAATCTTTAATCTTACCCAGAACCCCTGAAGATTTATCACTCATTTTACAAACAGCCTCTGCAAATGGAACCACCAGGCTCTCCCAGTTGTTAAAATCATGCATCATGGGACATTCTGGGAGAAGGAAGAAAATTTCTAAAGCTTCTTGGTGTGGAGAATAAAATGGAAGATTTTTAAACAGGTTATCCTTGAGACATGTGGTTATCTGTGGTCAAAAAGAATTAGGGAAAAGACACTCAAAACACAGCAAGAACTGGATGCAACTTAATGTAAATGAAGTGTAAATCCTAGAGATTCATTGCACCATGAAACTGGAATAACCATTTAGTCTAAAACCCACATTTACATCCCAACTCACCTACCTTCCCAAATACTTAACATGTAGATATGTGACAAGTATATGTCTGTCTCCCTTACTAAGCCATGACCTTCTAAGGACAGGGAACCTCTATCTTTCATCTTTCATCAGGAGCACTCATTATAGTGCTCCACACGTAGCAGGTATTCAAATATTTGCTAAATAAAAGAATGAATGCCAACAGTGTATGAATCCATATCACAGAAATCTCAAAACAAACATTCAGGTCTTCTGATCCAACTATCTCATTTGAAACAAGGGAAGACTGCTCTGTGATTATGTAGCTTGCTTATCATATGACATTGTTCTGGTACAACCAAGGTTTATTATCAGCCTTAGTGATGAACTGATCCAGCCTCTTCCCTTCACATTTTTGGTGATCTTTTGCAATTAAGTGCTGCATAGACCTGATAATGGTGCATAATTAGGGATCCATTTTACCTCAGACCCCCTAATTGGACCACGGTTCTGCCAAAGTTAACAAAATTAAACTTTCCTTCTTCCCTTGAGATAAAAGTATACAAGAGAACTTTTGGCTAAGATACAGATGCTGATTATCACAGAGCAATAGAGCAGGGGACAAAGCTGAGAGGGAAGGGCCGAGATGAGGACAAGATTGAGAGGGAAAGATAATGAAAGATATAGAAACAGAGAGAAAGACCAAATGAGGCGGGTGGAAAGAGGTAGAATGAGAAAGGAAGGGCGGAAAGGGAGAGGAAGGGAGGCAACTATCACCCCTAGATCAACCAGTACAATAGAATGAGGAAATAAATTAATAAAGGCTGAATCAAGAAAGGCTAAATTAATAAAAGCAGCATGTTTGGAACATCTGAAAGTGAGAAACCTAAAGATAGTAATAACTGCTGAAACAAAGCAGCAACAATCTCAAAAAGAACAAGAACATTCTAGAACCTAGAGAAAATGCAGTGTAATGGAACAAAACACAGAGGAAGAATCTAGGTAGTCCTTGAAGAAGGGGATGTTCATATAAGAAAAAGTATGCTCATTTCTACATTTATGTTTAAAATAATAGCAAATAAAATATTCTTATTCTAGTGTGCCAATCTCAAAAATCCTTTAATCACCTTCCTGAAGCCTTGAGTTGTAAATATTCCCTCTAGGAGTGTGAATATCTATATGTGTATGCATATGCATGTGTGTAGGTACAGATGAACTATTTAGACTATTTTTAACTTACATGACTACTATACCAACTATTTCACCCTAAGTGGGCAAACACCTGAATGTTTTCTGAGTTTAACTTATTCCAGGAACTACAGGGTCTCAGAAAATCTCTCAAAACAAAATATTGCTTCTGAAATTTTGAGTTCTTATAAAAAAATTTTTAGTGTATTTTTTTTTTCCCCAGACAATTTGAAGAATACCACCGTGTTAGTAATCCAGTCCTTTTCGGTTAACTCCTTAAAGGTGTTTCTTGCTTTACTTAAGTCCAAATAAATAGATGTAGTTTCTGCAGCTATTCTGTTGAAGGAAGATATATTTAAAAAACAGATGAGTAAGTAAATGAAAAAGCACAGTTCAAAATTAAATATTTTATTAGATTATCTAAAGCTTGCTTCATTTTAATAAAATTATATATTTTTCTTAACTTTACAATAACTATAATAATTTAGCTGACTATAAATACAGTTGAAAATATAGTTAATAACATGATTATGTCTAAAATGACAAAAATACCAAGGCTATATTATTAACAATATATGCTATGCGACTTTAACTCAGATATCATCTTAAATGAGTAATTAATAAATATTTATTTTTCTAGTAAAAAAAGTAGCCATGGAAAAAAGAAAATGGCTTTTCTTGTTTCTGAAAAAAATGGGTATTTCTCCCAGTTACATCAAGTGAAAGCAGAAGCCAAAAGAAAAGGATTCAGGGCAGTAAATTGTTGTGTTTCAATAAAAAATTACTAATAAAACATGTACCTTAACCCATGAATTATATTAATACTAAATTGAATATTGTCATTGTTTAAACAGAAACATTTTTTATAAATCAACACATATATTTAGTGTCTGAAAGTAGCGAACATTCTTTTAAATAAAAAATATTATGGAAATATATAAGAAAAAAGTACAAAGTTCTTCCTTCGTATTACTTAAAAATTCAAAGAAATTTTAAATATTTTGCAACAAGGGAATGTTTAAATACATTAAGGTATGTCCTTCCCCTGGAATACCATGGGGACATTAAAATGATGTTATAAAAAATATGGAATATGGAAACTGAACAAATTGAAAAACGAATATATTAACTGCAAAGCAATGAATAAAGCGATATATAATCCTTTTTTTTTGGTAAAAGAATACATTTACATAGAAAAACACATACACAAATGCTACTAGCTATTGTTCTTAAGTGGTGGATAATGGGTGATTTTCATTTTCTTTTTGGTGCATCATTTTTATAGCGATCATATATCTGCTTTTGTGAAAAAAAGTAATTTTTAAAGAGAGAAACGCATAGCTAATTCTTTTACCCTCAAACCATTTTCTTTACAATCTTTGACAGTATTTTTTTGAGACATAATTAACATAACATGTAAGTTTCAGGTGTATGACATAATGATTCAGTATATGTATATATTACAAAATAATTACAAGTCAACATCCATCACCAGTTATTTATTTTTTTTCTTGTGATGAAACTTTAAGATTTACTCTCTCAGCAACTTTCAAATATACAAGATTATTATTAACTATAGTTACCATGCTGTACACTGTATTTTTAACAAATTAAAATTATATATATTCTATATATTACCTTTCACTTACAAAACTTCCAGTCAGACAAGCAGGAGATGAAAATATCTCTCTGATTTCCCTTTTTGTAGTTAAAACAAATCATGAGTATGCCTTCATATAGCATGAGACAAAACAAAATAAAACATCTTAAAATTGTCCTTCAAACTTCTGTCTCTGATTTGTTTGCATATTGCTTTAGGTATCTAAAGGTTGACTCCACTTACTAAATCTCAAAATTTCAGTGGTAAACATGGTAAATAAGAAGATATGTACTCAGAGAAGCCACAGGGGAAGAGGAAAAGGTTTGACCTAGTGTCAGTATTTTCTTGGACAAATAAAACACTCTGATCCCACCCAGATTTCCGAGTCCTATTCATTTTTGTTCCACTAAAGTAGAAACTAAAATATTACCGGAAATTAAGTGGTGGAGTAGGGGAATATGCTCAGTTCCATCTTAGAAGTAACTGAATAAATAGTTCTTAATTGCTTATGCTCTGCAAATTATGATGTAACTTTTTGTACAACTACTTTTCAGTAATAAAGCCATACCTAAAAATAACTCTAAAAGAAGGTATCTGTAAAAATTAGTATAATCTTTACAGATGGTATGAGTACTGTTGTTTAGAGCAAGGTTGCCCAAGCTGTTCAGCTGTAAACAGGAAGTCCACGAACAAGTGGTTTTAAGGTCAAACATGGTTGGGAAATTGTAGACTATACTTCCTGTTCAGAGAGTCAAAATACACACACATCAAAGGCCTGGAAGGGTTCTGCAGTAAAGAAAGCTGCCCTTGTAGAGCTTACCTGCTACCTGTGTTCATTTTATGTTGCAACTTGCCTAGACCACAGTACTCAAATATTTGGTCAGACACCAGTCTAGATGTTGCTGTAAAGGTATTAGATTAGATCACATTTAAATCAGGAGACTTTGAGTAAAGCAGATTACTTTCCACAATGTGACTGGGCCTCATCCAATAATTTGAAGGCCTTAAAGGAAAAAGGGTAAGGTCTCCTGAGTAGAGGGAATTCTGCCTCCAGACTGCCATGGAACTCAAGCTGCAATATATACTCTTCCCTGGGTTTCCCTGCTGGCTTGCCTTACAGATTTTGTATTTACCAGCCCTCATAAACACATGAGCTCATTCCTTAAAAATAAACTTTCTCTCAATCTCTCTTACACACCTCTTATTGGTTCTGCTTCTGTGGAGATCTCTAGCTAGGAGACCACTTATTGAACCACAAAATCTTATACCTCTGTATTGTGATGAACTAGGTGGGGAAAACACTGTCTTAGAGAGCTATATAAGCAGACAGAAGCATGGGGTGTACCTTTTTGTATTTTGCCACTGCTTAGTCCCCACGTCAGCAATCCACCTTTTTACAGTCCCTTCGTTCAATGTAGGAATTTTCCTCCTCAGATTAACATAGGGATTCTGTAAACAAATTTTAAAAAGTAAAATATAATAATTTAGACACAAAATAAATAGGTATCTAACCTTTAGGCACATTCTAATGATAGAGGGTAATACTGATTTTTAAATATAGATAATATAACTCTGGGAAATCATAAAGTGAAATTCTATCAAGAAGTAATCGATCATTTGCCTAACTGACAATTCTCTGCCAATTTGGATCCAATACTAAATCCAAAGTAAATTTCTTTGAGTGCCCCAACATTCAGCACTTTATACAGATATAACTGGATTAAAATGAACATCACATAGCTTTGAGGGGATGAAGATCTTAAAAGAACTGTGTGTAGAAGTGGAAGGAACTTGATTTGCCTTGAAGTAGGGGGAAGATGTTATTCACAAGCCTATGAACTCAAGTCTTTTTTAGTACCGGCTGGAAATGTCATATTAGACTGTCAACCTGATGGCTCCCTAGGACACTGACCAAATGCCACTGGCAGAGAACCTCCCAAAAGGTAAGAATCATCTAAGGAAATCACTAATTAGACATTCACACACACACGCACGCAAACGCACACACAGATTTTTCTAGGTAAATATTTACATAGTTTAGACAATAAAGGATCAGTAATGTCTACCTATTCCCCAAAAATCAGCCTAGTAACCTGATTTCGGAATTCACCAACCTTGGATTCTGGAATCCTTTGTTTTGCTTAAAATACCAAGTTATAGAACATCTAGGGATCTATTTTTACCTCTTTTTTAATCCAGAGCAAAATGCTTTGATTCCCTCCAGCAATTATTATTAACTCCTTTTCTGAGGTACGGTTTTCTGAGAGAGATATACAGAAAGTAAGAGTTTAGAAGTCATTTGGCATAAACATGCACACTCAAACTCAAATAATTTCAGATTCTTTTTAAACTTAGTCCTTTTGTGTTTCTAATAGGCAAAGACTCAGCACATTTCCCGCCCATAAAACAGAAATAATATCTAATTCAGGATAGTGTTTAGTTGGCAAACAGGTGACTCTCAAGGTTGACATGTGGCATCAGTTTAATATACATAATTAATATAAATATTCATATATAAAAGTCAAAAATATTTTATTAGTTAACTGTTCCCTGGTTTAATTTGGCCATTACTAAAAACTATATTCTACAACTCAAGATTTGACCAATAACTACTGGCTGCAAAGAATGTAAATAAGTACTTCAAACGTCTACGTAAGTGGTTGTAAGAAATCAAATATATGAACTGCTTAAGGAAAAAACCCTACTGTTCATTTTCCTAGAACTGAGAGAATTTTTGGTACTGTAGGTCACCACTAAACTTTCAGAAAACAAGCAACCAAAGTGCTCCAAGGCACTTCTACAGTAGAGGGTTTCAGAGCTTAGGCTCTGAGGTTACACAGGGCAGTTTAAATCCAGCCAAACCACTTACAGGCCACTTACCGGCCATGAGACCTGGCTAACCCTTCACTCTCCAAATCTCTGCACCCTCCAGAGAAATGGGACCGAGAGAACACATCTCCTTGTACTGTTTAAGGAGAGGTAACACATGTTAAGTGTTCAGCATAAGTACCTGGTATATGTCAGCTGCTCTCATTCTGAGGGTTTAACATGATTATGAGTCAATTTAACCAGGTAAGAAAACCAGTCATCATGAAATTAACAGGCCCCTTGCAAACTGAAATCAGAAGCTACAGATGCTTCTGAATACATATAGCCTATTTAATGTTGTATCATTTTAAGTCCACATTACTCTTAATCCGAAGGGGTAAGAGAAAACTAATAGTTATTTTGATTTAATAAATTAGACTGGATATTTTAAATTGCTGACAAGTAAAAAAATGAAAAGTGTTTAGTGAAACTCCTTTCATAGTCATACATTTTTCTTTTCTTGCCACATCTCACACACAGAAAAATCAGTTTCTCAACAAAAGAATTTATAACAAATCCTGAGCTCCTATAGAATTTACCAAATTTGAGTTCTTCATTTGATGGCAATTTCATGGGAAGTGGTATCAGCTGATTATGTGTTCCACCGTTTCCCAGTTGTCCTTCTTCTCCAGAACCAAAAGAAAAGACCTTCCCCAAATCAGAAACATAAGCAAGTGTGTGCTGCCTATTAAATAAAAGCACATATGGTCAGTTCTCAATTATCCACAATGAGAGTACACAGCAATATCGTACATTACCAAAAGTAGGTTACCCAGTGAGTGAAACTAGTAAACCAACTCCCAATTCATGAAATTAGCCAACTGAAAACTAAGAAATCATTAAAATGTGGTTGAGATGATTTTGGAACCCCAAAAGTCCACTCAAGGCCATGATGCTGCCCCTTGGCGAATGGTGTTCCTTTCATCAGGAACAAGCATCTCTCTTTGTCTTCTACTCCTTTTTCAAGCCTTGGCTTGAGAATCACCACTTCTTGGAAGCCATCTAAGCACTTTCTCTCCCCACCCCAGAAATGGAATTAGATGATCCTCTCTGAGTTCCTACTCTATTTCCCAAAGATCTTCAGCACACTGATTTTCTTACGGCTTTGTCCAATTATCTCTCTCACTACATAGAATTTGGCCTTGCTCAAATAGAGGTCTGGTCTTCGTCCTCAGTTCCTGGGAAGTAACCTCTAAATCCTTAGAATTTCCCAAGTGATAGGTGTGTCTTTATTCAAGGCAGGCTCCTGAGACCATACCTAATAGCTTACCTAGGTGGCTCCTAGAGGGCCTCTCTGGGTGCATGTGAGCCCAACCTACAGAGAGGGAGAGGCTGGAGGCTAAACTCTACCACCTGGGCAATGAGTCAGTCAATCACAACTAAGCAGTGAAACCCCAATAACAACTTTAAACCTAGGTGAGCTTCTCTGGTTGGCAATCTCTACACACAGGCATGTATCAGGCTGGGAGGAGGTAACACGGTCCATGGCTCCAAGGGGAGTAGATGCCTGAAGCTCATTTGGACCACTCCTAGACTCTGTCCAATGATCTCTTCCTTTAGCTCTAATTTGCATCCTCTTCTTGAAATAAATGTGACCATGACTATAAGAGCTTTCAGTGAGTCCTTTGAGTCCTTTCAGGGAATTCTCCCATGTTAGTAGGGGCATTGCCCTTGTTTACATTAAGACATCTTTAATGTGACGACTCCTCTTATAACACATGCTACTCAGAGGAATGTGTGTCATGAAAAATCCAAAGTGGTGATAACGTGTCTTTGGTTAAAGCAGAGACTATCAAATGCAGAGAATTATACCATTCCAATAATTTGGTCTACCTTAATAATGTCCATTTATGTAATTTTACTCCAAAATCATTAAGAGACTATGTCTATAGACTAAAAGTACACCAGTTTTTTATAGTAAAAGGTCAGTAAACAAACAAATGAAGACAGTCTACAGATAGTCTGAATCTGCTTAAGTTTAGTGAAGACAAAATTGCGCCAAAGAAGAATACGCATATCTGTGCAAAAACTTTTTAACACCACCAAAACCCAACATCACACTGGCGAGAAGTAGACTGACTGATGTTCAAGGAAAAAAATTAATTAAGTAAACCAAGGAATCTGTTTTTCTACTTTTGTTTAAAAAAAAAAAAAAAAAAAAGAGCTGTGAAAAATCAAACATCTCAAGGTTGATTCTACTAAAACCACTAATGACTTTGTATTATATTTTACTATGATCACTCTGAAGGAATTATGGTAACAAGTATGATGGCCCTTGAAGGGCTGTGAGAGTGATTACATCAATGAATAATCCTGTTATTCATGTTTTTTCCCCCAAATAAATAACATTTTTCTTAGTGACAAAAGAGCAAGTGAACAGTTACAAAGGTATTTCACTGGAGCATAAGAAAGCGAATTTATTTGTTCATTAAAAAAAAAATCAATGAAAACAAATATATATACTAAAATAAAGATTTATTATGATTATCTAATAATGTAAATTAAGCATCTTCACCCATTTGAAAATGTTTAAAACTTTTATCTCAATCAGTAAAACTGGTGGAAATTTTATTAAAGTATCTATCTAAATTTATTGTATTGATTTTATCAACTTTCATAGACACTTTACAACTTACCTTCCACATGCTACCTGAGTCACTCTATTCCCAGCGAGCTTAGTCACCAAACAGGGTCTTAACTCATTCTGGGTTGAATTGTGACCGAGTTGCCCATATTTCCCAGCACCAAAAGTAAACACCAGCCCATCCTAAGGAGAGGGAACTTTATATCAGATTCTAGAGAAATATGACACAGAAGTTGCATTCACCGATGCAAAGGCATCAGTAAATAATTAATGAAAGCACTGTCAGAGCAAAACCCCCAAGTATCAGGAAGACGATCCTGCTTGTGGGAAGTAATGACCTTTCTTCCTGGGAAACACTAACTGCCCACGCCCAGATTTCTAGTGCTTTTTTTTTACTACAGTGTTCTGGAATTACCGTCAAGGAGATAAGAATATACGCACCTTTGTGAGCAGGGCAGTGTGAGAGCCACCACAAGCAAGAAATTCAACTTTCTGATTTTCCAGTGCTTCAATAAGGGAAGGAAAATCTTTATCTATACAAAGGAAAGAATAGTTGAAAGTGACCAAAAGGAAATGCTGAATTTCACATTAGAGTTCTGTACTACTGGTAAGATACATGGACTACTTCCTCTCAGCCTACCAGCAATAGTTCCCAGCACATTCTGTCAGGAAAGGCTCTATGTTGGTATATTTAGGCCACAGGAGCGGGTGGGCCAGTGGTCAAGAATCCACATTTGGGGATGCTCACCTGTGAAAGTATCAAGCAAATTCCCACAGCCCATTCTTCTCATTTTAACCTGACATGATTAACTTTAGTTGCAGGATATCTGATATTTCCATTCCCATCTACAAGTACCCTTTTCAATGAATGTATTTTTTCTTGTAAATTTTCTACTATGGTGTCCTGCCTCACTCTACCTCTTTTTCTTTCATGATTATTTTCTTGTCAAACAACTTAGAGATTAAGCAAAAATAGTTTAACTGCCCTTTATTCCTTTCCTTCCTTTGAATATTTTTCTAACATCAACTGATGGGTTCTCCTAAGTAATTAGCACGGAACCACATCAGGAAGAAACACAGTGTTCGACCAGTAACTCAGGGGATAATGTGTACATTTTCAGAGTTGATAAAATAATGGAGCCTACTATACCAGAAAACTCTAACAAGATGTTTGTGATCATAAGAAATTTTGCCATTTACTTTTGGAGGTAGTTCAATAATGGTAATGACTTTACATGTTTTTTTACATGTTCTTGTATGTGTGCATATGTGCCTACAGATGTAATATTTTACAGAATATGACTAGGATATGTGAGTTTCTAAGATAAAGTTTTAGTATCCTTTTGTCATAATATAATTATATTAATAGACACTTAAGTGTACACATACCTTAAAGGTCATTTCATCTAAACTCGTCACTTTATTGAAAATGACAATAAGGTCTAGAGAAGAGCTGTAAGTGACTGAGTAAGGCTGTGCAGTTAGTTAACTGTGAAGTGGGAATCACGACCCAGGTATTCTGATCTCCAGTCAGATTCTCTTTCCCCTTTTTCCACATGGCTCTGACATGTGTTTCAATTATAGCAACGACTTCTATACTATGCATGTCTCTTAGGCAAATTCTATCCTAAAGACAGTGAGATAACCAGGGAGAACAGTGCAAATGTTCCCCCTGGTGAATACTTGAACCAGTTTTGAAAGGGAGGTCTATGTTAAAGTCATCCTTTATCTAACAAATGTATTTGTTGATAATATGAATTTGAAAATGTGTCTATACCATCGGTGTGGCCCAGGCCTAGTTGTCCAAAATCATTTCTTCCCCATGAGTAAATGTTTCCAGATACAGATAAAGCCATGCTGTGGGATTTTCCCGCAGATATCTGAGCCAAGGGGACTCCGGAGAGGTGCTCCACAATCTGTGGTGCCGTAGTTGAGTCAAATATTTTTCCAACTCCAAGCTGGCCGTGTAAGTTCTGTCCCCATGCAAAAAGCTCACCGCCTTGAGAGAAACAAGAAAATGCTGTCTTATTAAGTTTAAAATGCAGTAGACATTACTCTAGGGTGTTGTATATGCAATCAATATTATACTATCACAATCTCTTACATTCAAACTGACAGGACTTCTCAGATCCCACATGCCTGCATCAGAAAAACCAGAAGAATCTTCTCTTTAGCAGTAACAATTATATTCCCTCGCCTCCTACCTCGAAGAGTAACGTTATGGACTGAATGTTTGTGTCTCCCCAAAATTTACATGTTGAAATCCTAACCCTCAATCTGATGATATTAGAGGTGGGGTCCTTGGGAGGTGATGAGGATTAAATGAGAGCATGAGAGTGAAGCCTTCATGAATGGGATTAGTGCCCTTATAAGAGACCCGAGAGAGTTCTCTTGCCCTCTCCATCACGTAAGAAGATAGGATCCTCACCAGACACCAAATCTGTTGCCACCATGAATCAGACTGCCAGCCTCCAGATTTGTGAGAAGTTTCTGCTGTTTAAGCCACCCGGTTTATGGTACTTTTGTTACAGAAACCCGAATGGACAAAGACAAGTAGAATGAAGCTATCTGAACATATTATAATCAAATTCAAGAAATACTTATTTTTAAAAATCCACAGGATGGGCCCATGAAAAACAGAACCGTTATACATCTAGAAAATAAAACCTAAAATCACCCTTTTCCTCTTTGCCCCCCCCACTTCCTTAATGTGTCTAAAGATAATAAATAATACATTTCAAATTATAGCACAGTATCTTGAAAGAGCCAGCATCTTTTTCCATTAATTGAATATATAAAGCATATGTTTCAAAAAAAAAAGTTCTTAGATGTTATCTAATGGAGCTAACGATATCTTATTGGATTCTGAAAAAATATGTGAGAGAACTAACATTTACCAAACACCTCTTTGCAAAATACTGTGCAAGAGCTTTTACTTCAAACATATTATCATGAGCCTTTTAGCCACCAGGAATATAAATGATGAGTATGCAGTTCACTTTCTTGTTTCCCCAACTTTCATTTTTCCTAGATTGTGATTTACCAATAATAAACCCTGAACACCCCTCTGCCTATATCACTAGGGTTCTTGAAGGTATAGTGTGTCAGCCCCATCTTCATAACTTGAAAATTGTAGATACTCAAAATGAAATTATCTGTTCATGAATGGATGAAGTCAAACAATCAGGCCAATGTTTTTCAATACAAGTTCATACTCTCAAACTTTCACAGAGCCTTCAGTACAGGTGAAATACTTGCTTATTTACTTCCCTTAAGTCCCAGCTTCTATTCAGTTTATGTTTATGTCTGTCCTAAACATTAAAAAAAAGGTCCTCAGGAACAAATAGAGACTCATGGATATGGACAATAGACTAGTGGTTACCAGAGAGTACGGGGGCGGCGGGGGGGGTTGGGGAGGAAGGAAGGTGGGGTAAAAGGGGCCAAATATGTGGTGACAGAAAGAAGGCATATATATATATGCCTTACTGTTAAATCGTACACCTGAAACTCACTGGATTTCGTTGACCAATTTCACCATAATAAAAATAAAATAAAAATAAAAAAAGAAAAGGAATCAGGAAAAAAGGTCTCAACCTTGAATTTCTCTCTATCACTCTTCTGTCTTAATTATTCCTCCATGGTCAAGTTTCTTCAGGAAATAATCCATTATGGTGTCTGATAATAAATAGGAAATAATTAAGGGCTAAGGAGATCCCTGAATTTAAAAGGTAATGTTAAAACATATCACAGGCCTGAAAAATGGCCACAGAAACAGAGCCAAGGGATTCTGAGACCTTGCCATGGGAGATGGAAGAAAACGAGGAAAAGGAAAAAAAGATTCTGAAAAAGGGTGGCCCATGTCTGGTCCTGATTCCAGAGAAAATGCTTTTCATTATTCAAAATATTTTCATTGTTTCATATTTGAAAAATAAAAACATGAACTGTTGAAATAAATCTCTAAGCCCAAGAGATTTATTTCAACTGATGTCAACCGAATTTTCATGTTCCTGTAAATGCTCCACTTGACCAGAAACACAGTATATCCAGTTAGCCAATATCAAAACGTCAAGTCAACTCTGGGGCTGTACCTGTGTTTCTTTGTTCCTTGATCTTTCTAAATAAGGTCAGACATGCAACCCCAGACAATCACACCCTGTTTCCAAGTTAGATCTCCTAACACTCTATAATGCTCACCCTTCCCAAAATCCCTGGGGAAGAGTGTCCCACCGCTAGTAAGGCACTGAACTCCCCAATTCATGGATCATTTTCTTTTGAATATAGGACATCAAACTTGTTACTAAATTGATTTAGTTTTGTCATATGACAAAATTCTATAGGTCCAAGAATTCTCTCATTTTGTAGCTCCTTTAACAATCATGCTTAGAATCATACCAAATTCAAAACCATATTTCTGTCCTATTACAAGGTGAAGCATACACATTCTATTAGTTCTACATATACATACATTTACTCCCTCTAAAAAACAATATTCCAGAAAAGTACCTTTAGAGAGTGCAAGAGAATGATAATCTCCACATGTGATCTGAATTATATTTTTTTCTTGTAAAATACATTGAAACCTAATGAAAGAAAATATATTTATGTCAAACACCATAATGAAAGTCGCATTAATGTTAGATTAACTATTTAACTGGGACTGAAACTCAAGAAAAAAATTTAAACTTATTGCTTCACATTCAATACATCTAAAATTATTTTAAAAAATATGATATATCTTTTAGTTAGTGGTTTAAAATGAAAACAATGTGCATTATATAATTGTAATAAGACGATTGACTTTTTTGCAAAGAATAATTTTATAATGCAGGAATAATACATGATAAAAATAAGTTCTAATTCACATGATCTTCTAGGAGAAAGTCTCACAAATCTTTCCATGATAATGCATTTTTCTACTAGGTTGAAAACTTTTATTTCTGGAAATCTAACATAAGATTAGGGTTAAATGAGATAATGAGGGTTAAATGAGATAATGAATGTGAAAGTCCAATTTGGGGCTAGGTGGACTGATCAATCATTTCCTTCAAATGTCAAAGCAACACATGTGAAGTGCCCTAGGAGACATAAATTGATTTGTAGTTTACTCATGAAAATAACTGGCTGGGTCAAAATTCCTTGCTTACTTAAAATGCCACTATGTAAAGCAGGGACAAAGATCATATAAATTAACATTTTCCTACAAAAATGATGACTGCCTATTGAGTAAAGTTTAAATAATTTTTAATAAAAGAAAAAAGTTCCCTACCTTGCATGTTCTATGCTATAGTTGTACTCAAATGGTTTTCCATCTGAGGATAGGATCAGCATGTGCTCTGCTCCTTGGTCCATGGAATGTATCTTCATTTTTTTTCCTAACTTAATGCATTCTGCAGAGCAAATCCAAACAGAAACTATGAGCGCTCTGATTATTATCCACTATTATTATTTATTTTATTATAATACACTTAAAACACCTGGAAAAATCTCCTAGACACCCTTTGACTTAATGTGAACTTCTCTTTAAAGAAAATTCAAGTACCAAAAGCAGACAAATTAGCATTGACTATTGTCTTGACAATGGATTTTTTTTTTAATTTGAAAAAGAGATTCACTGTTTTTTAAAACAAATAAAACTCGATGTTAGATTTTTGTTTAATAAGTTGAGACACAGAAACTAAATTTGAAGAAACAGAAATGGAAAAAGTCAGTAAGAAAATATAACTTAATTTTTGGACAACATAACTCATTGCAGAAGGATATATATTGTGTATTCTGAAATATACTTTCCAAAAACAAACAAATAATAATATGCCCCTCCTCACTGCTTCATTTAAAAGCCAAGGCCTACATTATTAAAATTGTGTTTGAGGGACTATTTCTAAAGAGGATGCTGTTAGAATTTTTATTGGCATTAGTGCATATTTAGCCCTTTCTAAAAGTTAAGAGATTTAAAATTATCCACTAGTTACCATTACTCTTATTTAGTTTCATCACAAAAATTAAAGAATACAGTAGATTTGGGGCCTTGTTTTACCTTTAAGTTCTAACGAAATTATGTTCATGAAAAATCTCAAAGCACAAACCACACTTCACACTAAAAATGCCAGGAGAACCAAAACAGTATGGTAATAAAGAAGAAATAGCCCAACCGATTAACAATTTTTAGAGACTCAGCTTTTCAAATCAGTCGAAAAAAAGAAGAGTTATTTAAAAAAAAAAAAGGTATTGGGGCAAATAAATCTACATCGTCTACCACACTCCTTAAATCAAAATAATATCCGAGCGTATCAAAAACTTTAAAAATAAAAGCTTAAAATTAAAAAAAATAGAAAAAGAGGAGTGTGGACAGTTTTCTAACATAACACAAAATCCATAAGCCTCCTTAAAAGATTAAGTAGACTATTATTTACATCAACTAAAGGCAAGTTGGGAAAAATATTACACGTCTGTGATAAGCGACAAAGGGCTACTTTTAGTCAATATTCGAATAACTTTCAAATCAGTTAAGAAAAAAAATTAACAGCTCAATTTTTAAAAAGCCAGGCAAAGATATGAACTGGCAGTTCACCAAAAAGGAACACAAATGACCAACAGCAAAAGATGCTCGAATTAAAACCAAAACGAACAGCAAAACATTTTTTTTAACTTATCGGATGGGCAGGATTTTTCAGAGAAGAGTGTGGCCATTTGCTTTCCCCCACCTGTAAAATCGGAGTCACAGTACCTGACCTAAGCTCTACGGAGATTACTCCCAAAGAGAAGTGCAACTAAAAGCACTCTTTAAACTGCTTGCAGATGTAAGCTATTGTCATTGAGAACAAGATAACTGTATTCTCCAAAGGCTCACAAAATCGGTCAGATATGTTCTAAAAAGAGGCAAGTGAAACAAACTTTGAACAGAAACCA